ACCTTTTGTTGTGTTGTGTTGTGTTGTGTTCTCTTAGAAAAAAGGTTTCAGACAGAAGCAATTTGCTTTGAACAGGCCCCAATCTGAAGAGCAGTTAGCTTGACTTCTCCATGAAGATTTCTCTCTGATTCTCCAAACTGAGGTCAAACTGACTACTGTCTACTGCAGGTAAGACACTGACTTCACATAACTACTCCATACAACCCCACCTAAACAAAGTAATCCCTGTGAAATAAACGTTCAGCCTTAAAAACTCAAAGTTCTTGGTATTTTCTCAGACGGACAGGGTTAAAATCCCATCATGCCGGTTGTTTTTATAAAGCAGCCACTCTTTTTCTAATTCTATTCAATCKTCATGTCACATTAAAATACATTTTCCTCACATCAAACAGCTAAATGCCTCTTTCGTGCAGCACCTTGTGTAACCAGTCAGAAGTGGCACTTACAGCAGGGATAGTTGAGCACCATGATGTCATCGATGGCAATGTAACCTCGCCGCTCCCTGGAAACCGTTGCCTCGATCAGCACCTGCAAAAGTGAGCATGAATATCTGATGAATAGGCCTGAATGAGCACATACTTGTGAGCAACCTCGTAGCTTTCACAGATGCAAGTGGAAGAGCAATTTCCAACACCCAGGTCTGTGTGAATTCTCTTCGTCCCACTCGCCCTCGGTGACAGACGCATTAATTACGAGCGGGCCCATTTCACATCTGCTGACCCAAAACAAAAACCCGGACAATAAGAAAAAAAAAATAAAGAGAAATTCGGGAGCATCAACACTGAGATAAGTTTTGTCTCAGTCCGCGGGGCCATGGGAAATAATTGCTTTATCACAAAGCGCGCGATGTGGTGCCCGAGTCACGAGCTCCATCACGGATGCAGGGCACAGGCTTGGTGTGCAGCCATAACARCAGATAATACAGCTCGCACAAGGCCACGAGACTCCAGGGAGGACAAACCTTCATTCTGTCCCATGGAACAATAAGCTGGATGAGCGGTGGGCCCTCATGAAACCTAATCAATATCAAATCACCATCCTCAGTAATAGTGGGAGAGTTATGAGACACAGGAGGGGGATGTTTGTTTTCAAGGCACCAAGGACGGTCTCCCATCCACGTGTTTGATCACAGCCCAGTGTTGAGTTATTGTTTCTCATAATCTTAGAACCAAATAATTACAACATGGTTTCTGTCACTGGGCTTTAATTTTTTTTTTTTTACAAAGGTCCCCCCAACTCGCTCCCACACACACACGCAGGGACACACTCAGATCAGATTAAATCTTGTAACCTGTTTCTTTTAAATAAAAAAAAAGGTGCAGACTGTGTAAGAATCAACAGTTTATTGGTTTGGTGCTGCAGAACTATCAACATAGACTTGAGTTTTTTCCTCAATTGAATATACTGTACTTGGAAAAACTAAAAAGAAAAAAAACTTGAATAGAAGAATGTGTGATAAAACGTGTGGCAACTTTCTCAGAAAATGAAAGTGCAGACATTGCTTGAAGCCATAAACAGATACATGTCCATTTCAACTCCCAAGCATCCCCCTGGCCTGGCCTTGTATATCCTATTTTACTCTGAATGCTTGTTGTCTACAATCGTTCCTTTCTTTCTGGCCCCAACTGAACCATGATTTTTTTTTACTGCGTGTAAAACTGTTTCTGTTTAGAAAAATTCTCCATTCAGATGCCAAGCAGGTGCTAAAAGGAACATTGACCAGAGCATTTTTAGTTTAGATAAAGATTCTAATAAAACACACGTTTCCCCCCAAATACTGTATAGTTTTCTCTGAGGTACTGACGATATTCGAGTAAATGACAACTGAATTGGGACAATTTCTGGCAGGCATAGAAAAATGGCTTTGAAGCTGTGKTTTCAAGAGCACAAAGCAAAAGTTGTACAAATCATTTTTCCCCTTAAAAAAGCTGTTGTGAACAAGAGGTATAAAGACAAAAGGAAAAATTTGTTTAAAAAAGTGTTAGTACGGGTGTTACGACGTTTAAATCACAAGTATGAGAAAAATAAATAAACGGGTCATAGAAATGCCTCCAGATCAGAAGAGGAGCAATAAAAGGACTGATGGGACTGTGCCTCAACTACAGTAATGATGGCGTTGCTCCAGTCTGCCAGGGTGAGGAAAGAGCTGAGCCAAAAGGCAAACATCTCCTTTTACCACTCTCTCTCTGTAGAAACTCTCACCTCTGGCCATGAGGTGTAGATCATGACTGAAAGAACGAGATGTTGGATAAAACCAGTTGAAATAGACGTCCTCCCTAAGGTGGCATGGCTCAGCCTTAAGGATATCCATGAGAAGTTGAGTGTACACASAGCCTTAGCTTCTGAGCATCAAAAGAAGTCAAATGTAGTGGTGCAGGTAACTGATTAAGATGCCTCCTGAGATCCTTGTTCTGAAGGTTTTCTAGGCACATCCTGGAAGGAGACCCTAGAGGCAGAAACAGAACTCTCTGCATCTGTACATCACAAAAAACCCACCCTAGTCTGCTGCGAATGGATAAAACTGTGGCTCTGTGGTTCAYTTGATTTGTTGAAAAYAYCGTCCGTTCCATCCTGTAYYGACTGGGCGGCTTTAAWGGGGCGGTATTATGTATTTTCCAGAYACGTAGTTCAATTCTRTACCACAATCAAGTAACTGTATATATCTAAATAAATTTGACTTTGCACCATAGTCTATCTTAACGACTTGAAATTGGCCTCTGGTTCTTTAAGAACCTCCTCTGACGCTCCCAGTTCAGCACTTSTTCAAACAATGCTTTGKGGGAGGGGTGCTCTGTGGGGCTGGATCTCAGCTGCAGTTGGAGCTTCAGGGAGGAGCTAGGTAAAAATAGGCGGTGCTTTGTATAAGCAAGCGTTTAGGCAGCTYCACATGGCTACCACAGGAGCGTAAAAAACAGATGGACGAACCGACAAGCAGATTTTAGGTAGTCYCWTATAATCAACCGTATTTGTGTAGAWAAACAAAACAAAACTCGWGAATAAAGTAAGTGTTTCAGTGCCGACTACAATTAGGGATGTACCGATCCAGATTTTTTGGCTCCCRATACAATCCAATTTTTTTAAAGATTAGTCTTTCCRATACMRMCC